TGGGGACCACTGGGATTTGCCACATCTCATTGTAGATGTCCCTGTCCTCATGAAGGTCCCAAAGCTTCCGCTCACCTAGCCTCGCAGTATATGTTTTGGAGCCCTTGGCAGATGTGTCCATGCCGGCCTTTTGCAAACGCCGAACAGAGATCAGGTTGGCTGCTAGGTTGGGCACCAAAAGCACGTTCTTGAGGCCCACCATCTTCCCATCAGCATCCTTGAACATGGCCTTGCCCATGCCTTTCACCTCTGCTCGCTGCCCCAAAGCCGATGTAACATGCTTGACTGGCGACGGTTCGAGTTCGGTGAGCAAGTCCGCACAAGGTGTCATGCTATAGGTGGCGCCGCTATCGATCACCCAAAAGTCCAGAGAGTGAAGGGTGACCTTTCCCACACTAGCTCGCTCCTCAAAGCCATCCACACCTCCTGCTGCAGCTGCCGCTTGCGTGGAGACAAAGAAGAATTGGCCCGGGTATCGATCTTCACTCGAGTCTTTCTCGTAGTCTCCACCTTTCATGCTTGCCGCTTCACCTCCACGGCCACCACGGCCTCCACGACCTCTGCCTCTTTCTCCCCTTGCTCCTCTGCCCTCTTGGCTTTGAGAAGGGGTCCATCCATCAGGCAATCTGAAGCAATCTCTCCACATGTGGCCGGTCTTGTGGCAAAAGTGGCATTCGCAATCAAATCGACCGCGCCCACGCCCGTAGCCATTGCTGTTGTTGTTGCTGCCATATCCTCCATTACCACGGCCTCCACTGAAGTTACTGTTGCCAAATCTTCCTCCTCGCCCTCTTCCCCTTCCACGGCCGTGCCCACGGCCCATGCTTGCAACTCCGGCACCATCGGGACCCGCCAATTCGCGACGGCGGAAATCTTGTAAGATTTCCCGCTTCACATCTTCGAGTGAGAGACGGGGCAGATCTCGATTTAGGTTGATGATGAGCGAGCACCATGAGTCCGGAAGTAAGGCCAGCAGCTTGGTCTTCTTTTGATGGTCACTGTAGTTCAGATCAGCTCCTTCGAGCCGTGTCAACAAGTCGAAGAATTTCTGCACTCCTTCCTCCACCGGTTCGCCTTCGTCAATTCGAAGTGCCGCCATTTGCCGCTCCAAAACCACAGCCACCGCCGCTGTTGCAGGAGCATGTACACCCTTGAGAGCAGCCCATGCCTTTGGTCCCTTTGCTGGTTCACGCTGAAAAGGCTTGATGTGACGGATTTGGCTGCTCCCCAACGCTTGCCCAAGTAGAAGGTAGCCTTGTGCGCTTTTCCGCACCCACGGGCTCTTCTCCGGGTCGTTCTCGGGGCGCTTCTCCGTTCCTTCCATCACCTCCAGCAGATCATAGTGGTCAAAGATGTTCTCCATCTTGAAGGACCACTCAGCAAAGTTGTCACCGTTGAACTTGTCAAGGCCAAACACTCTAGGCTCATCCCTAGAGGGTCCAAGGCTAGGTTGCACGGGAGCAACGGGTGGATCTTGGTGTTGACCTTGTGCTTGGGCGGCTTCTCTGACTCCAGCAGCTCTGCCACCCCCTTCCTAAGGCCTAGGCATGGTCGAGACAGCTCCAAGGGGCTCTTATACCACTTGTTATAGTCACAATAGGCTCAGATGTGCCAATAATGAGAGATAGAGAGCACAATCGGATTTCCGTCAGACGGCTTCAAATATTGATAACGATCTGCTTGCTGACTTAAATGGTAATCTGTAAATTGGATCTCGAGCGCGGTGCTGTCGTTTATCAGCAGCAAGTTGAATCATGAAATTCCATCAAGATTTGACGACGCTATGGCGGTTTGACTGGCAAGAGGTATAGCAGCCACTATAGTCTTAGGAGTACAAAAACAAACTTAGGAAGAAGAATTCGAGAGGGAGATGGTTCCCAGCCTCTACATACCCCAAGAGCCGAGGTCCAGGTTGGTGGTACACCACCACAGGGTCCGCAACCACGAAGAGTCTTGAAACCAACCCTCCAAGGGGCTACACCAAGTGAAATGTAACACTAGACAAAGTAGCGTTACTATTTCCACTATTTAATATTTATCCGCGTCCCTTGGGCTTGAAATCTTGAGCTCTTGGTCTTGGTTCTGCAAGATAAATTCTTCTTGAGTTGATGGGGGCTTTCTGCACACACCTGCGATGCGATGGACACTTCACACTCGACAAAATAGAAATAACACATGCGACATGTATACGACGACTTGGCATGCGAGTTGTAAAAACTCGCTAATGTCTTGACCGACACAAACCACATTGTGATACACCATTCAAACACACACACAAGCACTAGATAGCAATGACATAGACTCACAATTCATTCCATGCCATGCATGCACACACACAAACAAGGACGACAAGCCGAGTGCAAGCCATAGGGTTGCACCAACAGTTTCACCACTCGTCACACCACCGCTTTTACCACTTCCGTGACATTACCTTTAATGAGACGCTCACCTATTATCGGCGCTTCCCGCACTACAGTGCTCCTGTGCCTCCTCCTCCTCTCTTCCTTGTCCGTGCCCCGCCTACCGCACCCCTCCCATCCCGCCCAGTCCTATCTGGTGTCTCCCACGCCACTCAGTTCCCCTCAGTTGGGCCCGTGGGGGAGTCGGCTGACCCTGGGGCCCCAGCTGGTGGGGGCATGTCTGCTGTCCCTGTGGCACATCCCTCAGCCCCGGTACCTCAAGCACCTCAGCTACCTCCCCCCTTTGTCACAGGATCAAAATGGTCGAGAGAATGTTACACTATCAATCGATACAAGGAGGCTTTTATACTTCCGAGGTATATTAGGTAACCAATTTTATCCTCTCCAAAGGGAATAGACCCTTCTAGAAATAGAATCACTTTGCGTATAGTCATGCGATGTTATTGGCTTTAAAGGATTATGGCAGGATTACGCTAGATATAGCGCACCAGTACATCCCGAGCAAAGTCGAGGATATAATGATAAGAACAGGATAATTAAGAGGATAATGGGAAATTATGAAAAGGAAACCAAATGAATCAGGAGAAAAAATGCGAATGAGATAGAGAAGAAAAAAAGAAATATTGTAAGAAAGAAGTGTAACAGGATTGTACTCTCGCACTTCCCCCCCTCAAAGCTGGGTGTTAGAAGTAACACCCTGCTTGATAAGATAGTCACCAAGAGGACGACGAGCGTTGCCCATATCAGAATCAGACCTAGCTATCCTCAGAACGATCATATCCCTTCCAATGGATGAGAAGCGCCAAGGTGCCATTCCGACGATGGCAGTGTGCAAGAACACGTTCGACCTCGTACTCGGGTTCATTATGGACAAAGACGGGCGGCGGCGGTGGCAGTTTTTGTCCAGTGAAGATCCTGTTGGGATCTCGGTAGGGCTTCAAAAGTTGGACATAGAAGGCGTTGTGAATCTTCCAGATAACTGGTAGGCGTAAGCAGAAGGTAACTGAGGTGACATGTGCTTCAATGAGGAAGGGCCTGCAGAAGCGAGGTCGTAGTTTGGATGATGTCGAAGTTGCTGGTGTCGAGTAGAACACGCTCTCCCACGGTAATGGTGTGGTCATTGCGGTCGCGATCGGCCTGGCGCTTTTGTTGCTATTGAATATCGAGGAGGCGCTTGTGGGTCCGATCCCAAAATTGATGCATGGTTATGATGGACTGTGGCTGGTGCTGCTAGTTTCTGTGGGGTGAGCGGGCTGCGTCCGTAACAGAGATAGAATTTTGTGTATCCGGTAGCGGCCTGAGTGGCGTTATTGTAGGCAAACTCCAGGATGGGTAGATGCAAGTTCCACTTAGAGATGTCGTCCTTGCATGCTGCGCAAAGGAGTTGCTCTACAATTTGGTCGAGGCGTTCAACTTGTCCGTCTATCTGTGGATGTTATGCGGATGACATGGCGAGTTTGGCCCCGAGCAGAGACACCAGTTCCTTCCAGAACTTGCTGGTGAACTTAGGGTCTTGGTCAGAGATGAGTGTGGTTGGAATGCCATGCTGGGAGATGATGTAGCGAGCGAGCAGTTGTGCCGTCTCCTCGGTGCATGCTTTCGTGTGTGTCGGGATGAAGTGTCCCACTTTGGAGGATTTGTCGATGACGACGAGGATTGTGTTATGACCGTTGGTGGTGGTTGGTAACCTAGTTATGACGTCCAGGCTAACCATCTGCCATGGCTGTTCTAGGACAGGAATAGGCAGTAGCACTCCTGTTTTCGTCTGTTTACTGCTCTTCATCCGCTGACATGTGTCCCACGAGGTGACGAATTTCTATACGTCATCTGCCATGTGGGGTCAGTAGTGCTTTGCAATATCAGAGAGCGTCATGTTGCTACCGAAGTGTCCGCCGTACAGGATACCGTGGTATTCTTTGAGTAGTAACGTGCGCAAAGGTGGGTAGTTGGGTACCCTGATTTTTGTTGATCCTTTCCGGTATGTGATGTCACTGTTCCACTATAGTAGATTTCAAGAATTTCTGGGTCAATTGTGTACCTGTGTGTGAAGAGTCGCTTGAGTAGCAAATTCATTCCTACGACCTGGATCGCGACAACGTGTGCAGGCCGGCTGAGAGCGTCTGTTTTGTTTTTCGTCGAGATAACATCTCCACATTTTAAAGGCGATGACACTAGCAAGGGCCTCTTTGTTGTGTATTGGGTAATTTAGTTCTGCCTTGTGCAGTTTCTTGCTGAGGTGGGCGATTGGTTGCAGTCCATTTCCCTGGTCTTGCATCAAGACTGCTCCCACTGTCTGATCACTGGCGTCAGCTTTGACGACGTAGTCACGTTCGGGGTCTGGCAAGATGAGTACGGGTGCGGACGTGAGTGCTTATCTCAGCTGCTCCACGGCTTCCTGATGTTTTGATTCCCATTTATAGGTCTTGTTCTTCTTCTGCAGATTCGTAAGTGGTGTGGCAATTTTCGCGTGCTGTGGCAAGAACCTGTTATAATAGTTGGCAAAGCCTAGGAACTACTGCGACTCCTTCACATTCTCGTATGTCTTCCACGCACAAACAAATTCGATCTTCTTGGGGTCGTCGTGAACTCCTTGAGCGCTAACCATGTGTCATAGGAGTTGGACCTTCTTGAGGGAAAATTCGCTCTTGGATAATTTGACGTAGAAACATTCCCGTCGAAGAATATTGAAGACACGTCGCAGGTGTTCGACGTGCTGCTTCATGTCGTGTGAGTAGATGAGGATGCCGTCCAGGTATACCACCACGTATTCGTCCAAGAGTGGGTGTAGAATGTGGTTCATATTGGTTTGGAAGGTTGCTGGTGCGTTGGTGAGTTCGAACGGCATTACCAGATACTCGTACCGAGTTCGAAAGGCAGTTTTGTGGATAGAGTTGTCCACTATTGTTATCTGCCAGTATCTGGACCGCAATTCCAGTTCGGAAAATACCGTGGCTCCCATAAGCTGGTCGAACAGGTCATGGATTCGTGGAATTTGGTATTTATAGTTGATGGTCTGCTTGTTGAGAGCTCGGCAATCAATGCACATGCGCAGGCTTCCATCCGGTTTCGGTGTGAAGAGTACTAGGGCACCGTATGGTGCGGTAGATGGATGGATGGGTCCTTTTATGATGAGATACTCTATCTGTTTCTTCATGTCGGCTAGCTTTGTAGGGCTGAGCCGGTGTAGTGCTCAGATGGTCGACTTCTAGCTTGGTTCTTCCACGATCTCGTGTTGGTGCGTTTGGTATGGCGGTAGCTCATTCGGAAGGTCGTCGGGAAGGATATTATAGAACTCCTTCTGAAATTCTTTTATTTTTTCTGGAGGTTCCGATGCTCTTTTTTCGCTGTCTTCTACATCTGTGGCTATCGCCAGGAACCACGTGTTGGTTCATTTAAAATTCTTTTTGAACCTAGCGAGTGTCTCCACTGTGATATCTCCAGTGTTGTCCCAGTTTGGTAGTTGGACTCTCCTTCCGTTGTTGTAGATGCTTGCCATGTGGTTGACCCAGTTGATCTCGAGGTTGAATCTTTTAAGGAAGTCTCGCCCAAAGATAAAGTCAAGCCCTTTAATGTTGGTGATGGGGAGGGCTGGTTTCCTGCGCAGTGGTTTGATTTGTAGGTGTAACGCTGTTTCGCTGTAGACTAGTAACCTGCTGCCGTCCACCATCGTTGCAGAAAATGCTGAAGGCTTGCTCTCTTCCCGAAGTTGGTCGATTGCTGCCTTGTCGCATACGGTGTGTGACGCTCCGCTGTCCACAAGTGCTTGGAGGCATCGCCCTTCGCAGATGACATCGAGCACGAGGGGCAGGCGTTGCTCGGAGTACCCAAAGATAGTTTCATTAATTGGATCATTGGGTACATCCCAATATTCCGTACACACCTTTTCATTGATATCTACTCCTGAGCTGGCAGCTGGCCGAGGCTGCTTAGAGAAAGGCTCTTCTCCATGGCCCGGAGTTTCCTTGACGACTGTGCGTGTCGTCGATGCCGAAGTTGCTGAGCTGGATGCATTCAAAGGAGGTGTTCAAGGTTTTTGCGGCTTCTACTAGACCCCCAGCATCCTCTTGACCTGCTTGAGCTCCACCGACGTCTTCCCTGGGGAGCAGGAAATAGTTGTTGGCTGGTGTCAAGAGAGGACGTTGATTTTGTGGAAAGGTCGGCTTCTTTCCACACTCCTTAATTTTTTCCTCAAGTTCTCCGGTACTGGTACGATCTCCACAATCTCCTGCTTCTTCTTGAGTCTCTCTGGAAATTTCTTCAAGGCTGTAGCCCCTCGATAATAATAAGTTTTCATGAAAGCATCTTTATAAGATAACTTCAACGAAGCCTTATAATTTCTCGGGTCTTCTAGAAGTTCCCCCGTCTTGGCAGAGTCTTTTTTCGCGGAGTCAGATTTTCTCTCGGCGATTTTTCCTAGAATTCGGTTATGATTTTTTTCCATCTGCTGCGTGTACTACACGACACTCCCGAATTGTCGACGGCGGCTATTTTTTTCCTGGGAAAGGAAACCCGAATGTATCGGCTCGAAATGTTTCAACAGGTCGGTGTGAAACTGCTGCCACGTGGCTTCGTCGTGGATAAATGCACTATTGACGCCGATCCACTAGAGTGTTAGCCCTCACATCAGTGTCGCCGCGAGTCACACGCGTTGACTGTCCTAAACCGGCGAGCTCCATCTGACGGCTGCGAAGTAGATCTCCATGCTGGCCATCCATCTGTGGACGTCAGATGTGCGATTGCTCGGATCGCACGACTCGCTTGGGCACGACTTCGGAGCCTTGAGAAACTGCTACGACTGCTACGTCGTCGCCATTGTCATTTAGAGCTTCGCGCCGGTGAGTCGCGTTACTCGTTCGAATTCGTTTCACCAAGCTTCACGGTCAGCTCGCATCTCCTCCTGTAGGGCAGCAATGTGGGCGAAGAGCTGCTGGGTAACTTCGGCATTGTCGAGGTTCGCCATCCTGTTCAAAACACACGCGGAAGGGTTGATTTCAAAAGCGCGGAGCTGGTGCTTACCAGAATCGGTGCCGAATTAGTCGTCCCCAATGGTTTTTCGAGGCACTTTTTCCCGCTGCTGCTACTTAGCTGAGCGCGGCCGAGTGAGAAAAGCTCTCATTACCAAGTGTCATAGGATCGGATTGGTCGAGAGAAAGTTCCACTATCGATCGATACAGGGTGCTTTTATATTTCCAAGGTACATCATCGAACCAGGTTTATCATATCCAAAGAGAATAAACCCTTCTAGAAATATACACTGGCGGAAAGTATTGCCCGGATAATTGCCTGAAAAATGTTTATGTACCTTTTTGGTGCCATTTTTGTACAGTTACTATTCATATTTCAGCCTCGGTTGTAAAGTAGTTATGTATTGTGTGTAACGGGTATGGGTTTCTGCTTTATAGGGGTCGTTTTTTTACAGTGGACGAGATTTGGTTCACGTGGGTGCATCCGGACAGTTCATGCCAAGTAGCGTACTAGATCTATTTCCTAACCTCGCTTTTTCTACTTACTTGCCCTCGTGACTTTCGAGTAGTCAGGAGATAGGCTAGGACCGCTGCAATGATTAGGCTGTCATGAAATCGTGCATGACCCCTTAATATTCCAAAATTCGCCTAAGTGACAAACATGCGGACAATACTTTCCGCCAGTGTAATCACCCTACATAAAGCCACGCGAGGCTATTGGCTTTAAGGGATTGCGACATACTTCAAGGGATTACGCTAGATATAGCGCGCCAGTTTATCCCAAGCCAGGTCGGTGATATAATGATAATAACATGATAATCCAAAAGATAATGGAAAATGAGGAAGAGGAAATAAAATGAATCAGGAGTAAAGGGTAATTGAGATTGAGAAGAAATAGAGAAATAATAAAGAAGTGTGACGGGGTCGTACTCTCACACCCATGCCTCAGCAGCAGCAGACGTCGCCGCAGCAGACTCAGCGGCCGCAGCAGACTCAACGGCCGCAGCAGCTGCGGCAGCACTAGAGAGCAGTGGGGTCTGGGGTGGCGGTTCTGGGGGTGCTAGTAATGGGGTTGCTGGTGTTGCAGGTGCTGGTGTTGAGGGTGTTGGTGTTGGAGGAGTTGGTGTTGGAGGAGTTGGTGTTGGGGGTGCTCGTTCTGGCGGTGCGCGTTCTGGGGGTGGTAGGTCCGAGGGTGCTAGACCTGGGGGTGCTGTTTCGAGGAGTGCCGGTGGTAGCCGAGGTGCAGCTCGAGATCCTGGAGAGGACAGGCAGCAGCAGCAACAGCCACAGCAGCAGGAGCAGCCGTTGTCTGCCCCTCATCTCCTAAGTTTTCCCTCACGTTTGTTTAACCCTGTGTACAACCCGCTGTTCCCACCCCCGGACTCCTCTCCGGCTCGTTTTTCCCCATGCTCTCCTTCGTCCCCTAACTTGTCCCCCTTCCCTCCTCGTCCCCAATCACCTGTTCTTCACTACTGGGTCGGTTGTCCCTCTGGTGCTCGTCCAGTCTCTCCTAGTTCTAGTGTCCACCCTATGGTCCTTCTTTTGCGTACTTCACCAGTCCCAGTCCTTCCGTTGCCTCCCCGGTCGTCGCTCCCGTCGCCTCCTGCTCCTCCCTTTGGCTCTTCTCACACAGCTCGTCCAACCCTCTCGCAATTACTTGCGTCGCTTGTCACTGATCCTACTACTCCTCTTGAGTCTGTCTCCGCGCTTGTCGCTGCTGTCGCTGACTTCGCTATTAGCTACCGCCTCGACTACGCTTCGCTCTGGTCTCTGGTACTGCCCATCCTCCGTCCGCCAGGGGTGCACCTGCCCTTGGCAATCACGTGCTAGAGGACAGGCAGTACGAGCTGGCCTACCTTGCTGCCATTGTACCCAATGTCTGCTCCATGCTTGTATCTCCAGAGGGAGACCCAGATTGTCACAGGATCGGATGAGGTTTCCTCAATGTTGCTCTATCAATCAGTACAAGGTGCTTTTATACTTTCAGATTACATCACGTTACCAAGTTTATCCTATCCAAAGGGAATAGACCCTTCTAGAAATAAAATCACCATGCATATAACCATACGAGGCTATTGGCTATAAGGGACTACGGCAGGATTATGCTAGATATAGCGCGCCAGTACATCCCAAGCTTGGTCGGTGATATAATCATAATAACAGGATAAACCAAAGGATAATGGAAAAGGAGGAATAGGAAACCAAATGAGATGAGATAAAGACCAAATGAATCAGGATAAAAAGAGGAATGAAATAGAAAGGAAATATGGAAAGGGGAAATTGATGTAATGGTGTCGTACTCTCACAATTCCCCCCCTCAAAGCTGGGTGGTAGAAGTAACACCCTGCTTGACAAGGTAGTCGCGAAGAGGACGACGAGCGTTACCCATATTGAATTCAAAGATGCTGACTCATAAGTATCATAACCCTTCCAGCAAAGAAGAAGCTCCAGAGTGCCATGCTGACGGCGACAGTGTCCGAGCACGTAGTTGTCCCATGTCGTGGACGAACACGGGCGGCGACGGTGGTTGGCATTCGGTGTAGAGCGTGTTTGGTCTTGATAGGGTTTAAGATGCTGGTATGGAAGGCGTTATGGATCTTTAAAGTGGCTGGTTGGTGGAAGCGGAAGTTGACTAAAATTACCTTTGCTTCAATGAGGATAGACCCACAGAAGCAAGGTTAAAGCTTGGATGGAATATGACTGATGTCGTAATTATGGTGTGGACAACTGTAGTGATGAGCGGCCAAGTGCTTCTGTTGTTGTTGGATGTTCAAGAGGCGCTTGTGTGGCCGAACTTCGAGATGGTGGACGATGGCGATGAAATCATAAGCAAGTTGGACTGTAGCAAGGATCATCTGTTGCTAAGGAGTGAGCAGGCTCTGTCCACAGCAAGGAAGGATGGTGTGTATCGCCGTCAGTGGTATATGGGTAGGTGCAGGTCATAGTTGGAGATTTGAGTGTTTGGAACAGTGTGCTGTAACGTGCAGATGAATGGCTATGCTGTCTATTCTGTGCATGCTGTTACCCGCATCCGGTCCACGTGTGAAGATCACGAAGTGTTGGTGGTATGGCAGTCGTGTCATAGTACTGCTTATGTAGCAGCGTTGTATCCGTTACATGCAGCTTCTGTCAAATGCTGGTCCATGCCTTAGTGTTGTCGCGAGTCGTACCCTCTCGGTATCGTACTGCTGCGGAATGGCGAGTAGAATCACTAGTAGTAACTGTTTCCAACATTACGTCTGCTAGTCACACTGCCTTGGGTACAACAGCGCATGCGAAGTGCTGCTCAGCGTATCCCTTGTGTTCAAAACCATGCGAGGGGTTGGTACCATAACGCGGAGCTGGTAACTTCCAGAATCGGCGCCAGAGTTGTTTCCCTCGGTGGTTGCTCAAGCAAGGAATCTCTGCTGCATAGATATCCCACGGTGATGGGTTAGGATATTTGGGAATGTTAGGGCTATTCCCAAATAATCCTCTCCCATTTTCAAGTGAGCATTGCTGACAGCCAATCCAGTATGACCTTATGCACTTCCAGTTTAGCACGGAGGCCATCGGTAGGCATTGTTGTCTGGGCGCACATATTGGGATAGGTCTTCTGGTGCCATCATGTGTTGTCTCATTCTGTTACTGTCCTTGAAGTAGCATTGATGTCGAAGATGTCTCAGCTATTCAGCATCAATGTTGAAGTCTGCCCAATTTTAGCGAATAGGGGTGTTGTTGGAGATACGCGGAGTCCACTATCCGGAGTGGCGTCGGCGCTCCATTTTACGCCTATCTGATTCCGTGGAGTTGGCGCTGGTCATGTATTGGTTGCGATGTAGGGTTTATGACCTTAAGGAAAGCCATAGGCCATGAGGACTAGTATACAGGT